GGGTCTTAGGAAACTTGAACTTGAATCACTCCAACAAGTCCTAGAAGCTGTTCAGTGCACTGTAGTTTCGGCAGTTGGCAACTCCTTCTTTGATGCTTATGTGTTATCTGAATCGAGCCTCTTTGTCTACCCAACCAAGATCATCATCAAGACTTGTGGGACCACTCAACTTCTCAAATCCATCCGTCCCTTGATCTACTATGCTCAGCATCACTTAGGCCTCACCCTCTGCTCTTGCCGCTACACCAGAGGCAGCTTCATCTTCCCAAAGTCTCAACCTTTCCCTCACACTAGCTTCAAAGATGAAGTTTTGTATTTGGAAGAGACCATCCCTGCGAATCTCTGTTACAGAAAAGCTTCCATCATGCCCTCTAAATCTTCATTCCATTCTTGGCATGTTTTCACTGCTAGTGATGATTCTGACATACCTTACCTCCGTGAAAGTGAATCATCATCATCATACACCATGGAGATCTGTATGACAGAGCTTGATCCCATCCTTGCTCGCAAGTTCTTCCGGCGGCCTGGGGATGGGAAAACCGGCGACTCTGCTGGGAAGGACATGACAGAGCTCACAGGCATCAATGAGATAAACCCTGAAGCACTTATTTGTGACTTTGCATTTGATCCATGTGGATATTCTATGAATGGCATGGATGGGGATTGGTACTCCACCATTCACGTCACTCCAGAGGATGGTTACAGTTATGCAAGCTTTGAATGCGTTGGCTCCATCAACGATGATATAGTGCATGCATTAAGGAAGGTGGTTCATATTTTCCGACCAGGTACTATGTCTGTGTCCACTACATGCAGTGACTATAAAAACAACATATGGACACGTGTGGCCAGTGCCGTCGAGCCTCTGGGTTTGAAATGCCGGAGTTGTGCAATGGACCAGTTTCCTGCAGCTGGTAGTGTTGTGTTTCAAACATTTACATCTCGCCGGAAAAGCACTTAAAGGCTTCAAGATATAAAGGGGTGACAGCAGCGAGAGAATGGTGGCGGCAGCGGCGGCCAGTAGTAGAGGACGGAGAGATAGTAGATAGGGAGTTAGAATTAGTTGAAAATTCTAGGGGATGATGGATGACATGGCTAAATGTGATTATTGTGGATGATGAATGTTGGGGCTGACTTGTTTAGAAAGGTACAAAAGAAGTGGTATTCAAGATTGAAGAGCTGAGGGATGAGGAAGAAGGCATTGGTTTTGGAAGGAAGGCTGCGGTTTTGACTATTGAGTCAAGGTTTCTTAGGCGTTTGTTATTAAATTTTTTAATAAATATATGATATGTGGATAAATTCTTTTGAAACATTTAATTATGTGACTTTGGATTATAAAAAACTTCCACTTATCATATCTTTATTAAAAAATTTAATAACCAGTACTTTAAAAATTGTATTTAAATTTTGTCTATTTTAAAATGGCCAAAAAAAAAAAATAGAAGGTGGGAAGGTAGGGTGGGGAAGGTGTTTACTGGATGATCATGATAATGCACCCCACTTAGGCTTGTCACGCCTAAGATTTTTGAGCTTGTGTAGTGGGTTTTTAAAGTGCTCTTGCTTGAGGCTATATTTATCTCTCTCTCCCCCCCTCTATCATCTACCTCTCTTGTCTTTTATGCTCTGTTTCTAGATTATTAAAGAACAAAATCTTGCTTTTGGTATATATTGATCATTTCTCTTCACTGATCTTGTGCTGTTTCTGCAATCAGAAAGAGTATAGGTGCATGAAGCAATATCTGAGATTCTGAGTTGTGTGGAAAGTTTTGATAGGTCATATCACATTTCCTTTTGCATGGGCTTTTCACTTCACAGAAAATATCATCTTATCTAGTGCTTAACACACACACATGCACGCACACACAAACTACAAAAGAAACTAAAGTGGGTGCATAGATTTTAGGGAAATCTTTGTTATTTTTAAGTTTAAACAACCCTAGCTATCTACCTTCCCTTCTGGTCTTGCGGATAAAATATGGTTTTGTGGTGTTGATGGTGGTAGTGGTAGTATGAAACTTAACATGCACGTGGCCATAATTGAATTTGGGTGACAGACAAGCCATGTAGAATAAGGGGAATAGATGACAAAAGACACAAAAGTAGGAGACAAGTAGAGAAGCAATAATAATTTGTCCCAAATTCTTCATATAATATACAAGTCTGCCTTTTTAATTATAAATAAGGGAGATCTAGCCAAAAAGGTTCATAATAACCCTATGTGTTTCATATAATACAAGTCACACCATCTAAAACATGGATACAAGTAGGTTCATAGTATTTACAGTGGCTTCTCTTGATCCCTTTTTGTTTTTTTTTTTTCCCTTCTTCTTCATGGAAATAGAGCCTAGATTGTATGATTTGAAGGATTAGAAAAGAAAGTGAAGGAAATTATACATGGATCCATCTTTCCCCCCACTTTTTGGTTGGTATATATGTAACTCTGTATAAACAATGGGGAAAACTAAAAAGAGAGGATCTAGATTCCAAATTTGTGAAGCCTGCTAAAATGCAATCCCTTATTCCCTCCTAAAAATAAATGCAAAAGTAGGTGATAATTTATTATCTTTTTATATACATGCTTGCTGTTTTTGGTCAACTTATTTGGTTTAGGAGAAAAATGTTTTTTAAAAGAGACATAAAAAATGTATTTAAAAAGATAATGAAATGAATTAATTTCTCGTTTATTTTTAAAGAATATTTTTTTTGACCTATCAAACATTGTAATTAAATTTAAGTGTGAATGTTCTTATAAAAAAAAAGTGTGAACAAGAATGTAAAAAAATATATCTAATATTGAGTAGAATTAGGACCAAAAAAAGCTTGTAAATAAATAATATTTTTTTTTGTACCACTAAAGAGAGAAATTCCCCCCCCCCCTGTCTCTCTCATACAAAGAGAAGGAATCTGCTGATACAAACAAAACAAAATAGTGCTCCAATTTTTCTCTTGAAAGGGACCAAATACGAGCACCGCACACACTTACATTTCTCATTTTCTTGATAATGACTGAGAGAGAGACTTGGAAATGAAGGAGAAAAGGAAATTCTCACATGTTTGATACAGTGAAAAACATTTATTTTAGATAAAAATGTATTTAAAAATAAAATAAAATAAATGTATTTCTCTTTTTGGCAGAAAACACTTTTTCACGCACTAAACATTACACTAGAATATTTTTGATTTGGTTTGAATGAATTCAATTTCTTGAAAATCAAGGTTCAATCAAAATAACAGAATTTAGCATCCCAACTCCTAATAAAGACCTAAATAAATATCCCTCATTTTTTTCCCATAACTTTTTATTTGGAGATCTCAAAAGGCAGAACAAGCGATCAAACTCGTGATTTGATGCTAATATGTACTACTAAACTATAAAGCCATTGATTTTTCCAAATTTTCAAATGTGACCTTTTGTGTTCAACGTCTCCTTCTTTAGCTTCCATCCCATGCCGTCCCCTCCTTCAGAGATGATTTCAATGCAATGTTTGGTGTGTTTGGTGTGGGGAAACCACTTTTTATTGGGAAATGGGAAAGGAGGGGGGAGGAGAGGGAGGGAAGGCCTCATTAAAAAATGATTAGTTAACTATTTTAAATTAATACAATCTTTTTCATATTTATTAATTAACTGTTTTTAAATTAATATTATCTTTTTATATTTTTCTTTATATAATATGATGTTTCATTTAAAAATAAATATAAAATAATTTATTTATTAAAAAAATTTAAAACACATTAATTAGTAATTATACCTTAATATATTAAAAATATCTTATATTTTTTTAATCAAACTCTTAAAAAAAGTCTTATATTTTTTAATGGAGGAAGTACTTTTTTTATTCGAGGGAAGCATTTATTCCTTGAATTTTTAATTAAATTTAAATTAATTATCATGCCACAAATAATTAAAATCAAATTTGTTTAAAATTAACAAAAAATGACTTTAATTAAATTTAACACTTGAATTGTTCAGCGAAATTAAGTCAATCAAAAGAATCTTTTTGTAAAAAAAGAAAAAAAACCATAGATCTTTATATTTTAATTGCATTTTATTTTTAATCTCCATAATTTTATTTTATTATTTTCAGTCTCTTTAATTTAATCATTGATACGTTTGCAATGTTAATTTATAGTTTTAAAAGTAGACAATTGACACTGTAGGAATTAATTTCATTGAGATATACTTAATTTTGTTAATCCCTTTAAGTTTGGACAGAGTGGCCAAAAATTTGTAAGTGGACCAAGGTTCTTCAAGCGATCAATTAAGTTTGGATGAAAAATTACAAAAGTGATATATCCATCCATCTAATTTATTCTAATCTAATTTAACATAATTCAACTTGAGTAAAAAAGTAAAATGAAAGGAAAAATTATATTTAGGTCTCAAATAAAAAAAATTTATTATCAAGAGATCCAATAAAATTTATAAAATACTTTTAAATTTCAAATCTCGATCATTTACAATTTGACTAAAGATATTAACAGCTAAGTAATAGTTATTCACAATTTGTAAAAGAAAATAACAAGTTATAAATGACTGTTATTTAATTATTAATGTTTTTAATTAAGTTGTAAATGCATAAAATTTAAAATTTAAATTTTGTAAATTTTATAAGATTTTTTGATAATAAATTTTTTTATACGGAACTTAAATGTCATTTTTTCAAAATGAAACCCACTCTAACAGATTGGTCATATTTTATTACATCACTCTCGCTATTTCACATGGAGAAATAATAATAATAATAATTCCCATGCAAGGGGACGAGGCCCACCTAATTTCTATGCTAATAATAAAATATAATTTTTTTATTTTTTTAACTGATATTAATAATATTTACAGATTATAGTGATGATTTTAATAATATTATGTATATTTTTGTGTTTAATAGAGAGTAATTTTATAAATTATGTTTGTTTTTCATTCCATGGAGGGACCGTTGTCATTTTCCATAATATAAAATGCCGCGAGTCACGAGCCACAACAACTGAGTCATGTTTACGAGTTGGGAAATAAAAAATGAGAAGCTTTCGAAAATTCATCTCCCTCTGTGAATCGAAGCTCGCAATGATTCACAATGGCGATGAGTGATCGATAATTACGATCAGAAAATTTCGGAAGAAGAAGCAATTCCATCATCATCAGCTGCATATTTCGTCCGAAGATCAACAGGTAAGAAAGAGGCAAACAAAAAGGGAAAGGGAGAAGAGAACGAGAGGAAGTTCATTGGGGAACCGATTATCATGTCGTTCTCTTTCTTCAAGGCGAGGCCTAAAACGCCACAGGAGGTGGCCAAGTCTACCAGGGAGAGTCTTAATGCTCTCGATACCAAGACTGTTGTTGAAGTTAAAGCTCTCGAGAAGGTTTTGCTTCTATTCTGTTTTCTACTATTAGTTTTTTCTCATACCAATTTCACTCGTGTTCACCTAGATGGACCCACACAATCGGCATCCTTTCGATCCAAATCCTTAATGCTGTTTTTAAGCTTTCATTTCTTAGTTAAATGTGCGGACTTGATTTGCTGATAATTATAATATTCTCAAGTTGTCATGCGGATTGTTCCATTGGAGGTCAGTTCTTGTCACCATTATGTGTTGTGCAATGAATATTCTGTTTTACACGCGAACGTGATTTTTTCTTTTTCCTCTCTCTCTGTTTTTTTTTAATCGAATATTAATGTAACTTTCTGTGATATCTTAATTGTTTATTTTTAATTTTTGCGATCACATCAAATTTTTTATTTAAGTGGCATTATTGGCGGAGTAATACTTTACAGAAAGGATTTCAAGTGATCAGCTTTCCTATTTGCATGTTTTATAAACGGCGGATGCTCTGATTAGCTCCTAGAATCTTTCTAATGGAGTTGGCATGTTTCCATTTTGTATTTCTTATAAATGAAGTTTTCTAGATAAGTCCTTTTATATCCAAATGGAGTAAGAAGTTAGTAAGCAAGAATCCTGTATTGCAAAGGCAAAGTCAGAATCAAGGGAGAATTCCCTTTCCCATGCCCCAAAAAAAAGGCACTCATCCATTACATTATGAAACTAATATAACTGAAACCTGTTAAGAAAATAAAAGAAGGCACAGCAAATTTAACTTGAGAATAAAAAGATGTAACACTTCATTCTATTCATAGTTTTGTAATATCTGTGGTAATATTACATATGGTGGTTGCAAACTTGTAATACGTGAACTTGTGAACTTAAAACTTTAAGTCAGAGAGCATGCACAAAAGACACTGACCTGAAAACGAAATTATTATAGTTTGAGTGGTAGATAACTGGTTTATATCTGGTTATTAATCATCTCAAAGGATATCAGAGACGTAGCTGTTTAGCTTCCATCTCAGGAATGCTTCTAATTACTTTCATCTTGTTCTGAGAAGCAAATGAAGAAATAATGACCTATAGGTGCAAACATTTTATTGACTGTAGTTGATTTAATATTAGATGATTGATTTTTTTATGCTTTATCATAGGCTTTAGAGGAAGTTGAGAAGAATTTTGTGACAATGAGGTGCATGCTTTCTGGGGATGGGGAATCAGAACCAAACATGGATCAGGTTACCCAGCTAGCAGATGAAGTTTGCAAAGAGGATGTTGTTGATCTTCTAATTCACAAGCTGCCAACTCTGGGTTGGGAAGTAAGATTTAGATTGGTAGCAAGCACTAAAATGAGCAGTTGGCTAAATGGTTCTCATTATAGTGATGTGAATTCTGATACAGGCAAGAAAAGATTTAGTACACTGCTGGTCCGTATTGTTGAAACAAAAGGTTGATTCCAAATACTGTTGTGTAGAATACCTTGAACAACACTCTGAGTTACTGGACTTTCTTGTGGTATGGTAAGTTGCTTGATGCATCACAACTGTTTTCCGCAAAATTTTCAACTGCATTTCACTCTCTTCTTTCCTCTTCTCTTAAGGGTGTACTTTTCCAAGTTATGGATTTATCATGTCAAATCCGAGGCTTGTAAATTTGGAAAGGATAAAATTAATAACCTGTGCAAAATTTGAAGCAATATTGTCTCTTTTTTCAGCATGTGTTGTATTACTTTTTCATGGACTACAACCTTGCAAGAAGTTAGTGAAGGAGAAAATATGATCAGAATAGAGTTTGTGAAACTACCTTGGGGATGAAGAAACTAAACTTGCTTTTCTGTTGTTGCTTAAAATAGTTTCTAAATTCTAAGGGTCACCAAAAAATGCCAAGTGCAACGTCATATCTATTATGGGCTGCTCATTGTTATAAAATATGTATATATGTCCGGTACATTTAGAACATACAATTGATAGGATTGAGTTTTGCTTCCATGTCAAAAGATTTCGTTACATATTGATCACCTCTTCCTTATTGCTCGTCTATTTCTATCACTATTTTTGCATTCCTTAAAAGAATTCGTTAGCAGTGTACTTATGGTAATGTAATATTCGCATTAGTATCTTGAAAGATGTAAATTTGCTGCTAAGACCTCATACCGAACCAAACTCTTTTCTTCTTTAGAAAATTTTGAGTAAAACAAGTATTGGTTGACCTTGTTGGCCTTACCAGTGAAACAATGGATAAAGTTTGACTATGTTCCTTGTTATTACTCTCACCATTCAAAAATGTAAAGTACTTTTTGAGGAGTTGAATGTTGAAAAATATAAGGCATTTGTAGTGTTTCAAGGTGTAATTATTGTACGTTTCCCAAAAGTTTCCATAATAGATAAATTATTTTATATTTATTTTAGAGTGAAACATGTATTAAATAAGAATAAATATAGAAAGATGGTGTTAGTTTGAAGACAAGCAATTACTTTATTAGGGGTGAGATTTGGTTAAAAATGCCTTACATTTTGAATGAAGGGAGTATTAAAGATGGTCTAAAATTGCATTTTGGCTTCCCAAAATTACTGTTTTGTTCCCAAAAGTAAATCTTGTTTTCTTCTTCCTTTTTTTTTTTTTTCTTCTTTTGGGAATCTACTGCTGTATGTTTGGACTGAGGAGAATAGAGATTAGAATGGAAGGTAATCTTGTTTCAAGCATTTTCTTTGTTTCATATTTGAACAAAGATGATTCCCCCCTCATCTTCTTATCCATTCTTGTCTATCAATATTTATTCTAAAGGAAAGAAAAGTTAGATTAAATCTAAACTAATTAGAATATCAGAATTAAATTTCCTCTTCCATCCTCTTCTGCAATCCCAACACACCTAATGGATTATAATAAAAGTGATTATGAAAAAATTGGTTTTAGCAGAAGGATGTCAAGCCTTCTTTTGACTCTTGCCTCAGTGATTTTGCCCTTAATTATACATAAACAATTTGACTAAATTACCCAGATGTGTTGATTTTAGACATAACATGCCAACTCTATGCCCATTTGTTGTGATTAAATGTCAGAAATTGATTTTCTCTCATGCTTAAACAAATACAATTTCACTTACAGCACTTAAGCATGGTACTCTCAAAAATCAAGTTGTTTCAGAATTCTTTCTAAACCAATTATAGTAAAAGTGACTTTTCTTAATATGGATAATCTCTTAGCAATCCTAAACAATTTAAGATTCATTGGCTACTTAAGGAAATTTTATCCTTACTTAATGTTATTATTGTAAGTCTAAATAGCTGCTCATGCATCCTGTATGTATCTTCATCCAAGCAGCTATGACAACAAGGAAATTGCATTGACCTGTGGACTGATGTTGCGGGAATGTGCCAAATTTCCAACGCTTGCAAGGTAAGATATTTCTACATTGTCGTTTTTTCCTCCCTTCAACTTTTTATGTTTTTCTTCTTTCCTATGTCTCCATATCCATTGTAGGCTCATATCAATCTTGCTGGAAATTTGTGTACACTTTCTGTTTTTGAATAAGATAACTTTTAGCATTATAGGAAGAAAATTAATTGAATTGTAACAATGAATTTTGTGCATTCTTGCACATTTATAAATTGACCACATTCAACATTGAATGAACTTCTTCTCTTTTCGTGTCATCATCTTAGTATTGACATCATGATGGCTTCAATATTTTCCATTGTCATGCATCCTTTGAGATTCCTTACTTGATTATGAACTCAGGGACATTGTAACTTTTTGGCATTTTCTTGAGGTCATGTTTGAGTTTCATGAACTTCATTCTTTTAAAAGGTTTTGGCTTTATTTCAAGGAGAATATTATATAATTAGGACTAGGTGAGAGTGAATGTTGTCAAGGTAAGAGGGGGTCTATCTAGGATATTTCTATTCTGTGCTTACAAAAATGTTCTGGTAAAACTCAGCCTTTTTTATTTGAACTGTTTTTATTGTTTTTTTTTTAAAATCATTGAAAAAATTCCCAAGTAGTTTCATGTTAAAAGATTAAGTGTACGTAATTCAATTAATTATCATAACCAAAGAATTTGAGTAAAATCTAACTGGAAGTGTTTAATAATTTTGAAAGGCATTTGTTGGGTACCACTTTGGTTCAAAAGCTGGTTCTGTTAAGTGAAGCCCATGAATAGTTTTTGTAACCTTAAGTTGTTGATTGAGGACTCATGAATAGTTTCTACTGTAATCTCCAGCATGCTCCCTCACATAAAAGCCTTTTGGGCTTGAAGTATGAATTAAACAGAGGCCCACCAAACCTTGTGTTTAAATTCATTTGTACCTTAAAGAATTAATGTCCAAAAATAAAAAATCAGGGAATGGGAGATGGCAGGGATTGAATCTCTGACCTTGATTGAAGAAGCTGATAATAAGTTGAAGACCACTTCAACTAGTTCAACCTATCAAGTGAAGCTCCATGAGTAGTTGTTATTATACATGTCTAGTATTTCCTCCATGTCAAAATCATTATCCTTTGGGAGTTTTTGTTTTGTTTCAAAATAGTTATCACTTAGAAATTCAATGAAGCATATATTACATCATTATTATTGTACTATTTTACCCTTCATGGATAGAAACAATGGTTGGTGGAGCTCAGATGCTGTGCCATGTAGTTTGTAATAGTTTTTTTAATCTATATGCATAACCTTAAATGATAACTCCTTTGTAATGGAGGCAATAGTGTACATATAGCTTGTAATACCCACTGTTGCCATATCCTTCCTTCTGAATTTTAGTAGTAATTAATAAATATTTAGATAGTAAAAATTAATGGATGATTTTAACTATCAATATCCCTTCTGAGACTGGTCCTTTCCATGCAGTCTGTGGAAGATTAACCAGGTACTCGATTTCATGATTCTAATATTTTTTTTTTTTTAGATATATATTGGAGTCTGCAAGCTTCGTGTTGTTCTTTAAATTTGTAGAGTTGCCTACCTTTGATGTTGCTTCTGATGCTTTTTCTACTCTTAAGGTGGGATCTGAATTCTTCCTATTTTTATGCATACCCAGTGGCACTTCTTAATGATTTAGACTTCCACCTGCTACCATTATACATCTATAAGGATTGTTTTGCAGGATCTTCTTACTAAACATCAAGAAGTGGTGTCTGAATTTTTGACAGCTCATTATGATGAGGTTTGTGTTCTCCTCATTTCACTTATTTGAACACATGAAGTCAGCACTCAATACTGCAAATGCAAAATTCCTGCACATAGTGTGAATATTTACGGCCAGGAGAATAGGAGATCTAGCCTCATGGAGAACATTTTAACCATCTAGATAACTATTCATTGGGAGATAGTTAACTTCACCTAGAGGGCTATATCATCTTTCAGCATGTGCATGATGCAGGCTCATTATTGGGGTGTTTTTATTGCCCGTAATCCATATTATATTACAGCTTTTCTAACAGGACTTATTGTTCCAGTTCTTTGATTTATATGAGAAATTGTTGACATCTCCTAATTATGTCACAAGGAGGCAGTCTTTAAAGGTTAGTTCTGATAGTGATTTTTCATATTTTGGTGTATGGTAATCTTTTGATTTATGAGATTTTTGACAGTTAGATGTATATGGATTTTAGCTTCTCTCAGAGTTTCTTTTGGAGGCTCCAAATTCCCAAATAATGAAACGCTACATCTTAGAAGTTCGTTACCTGAAAGTCATGATGACATTGTTGAGGGTATAGTTTATCTTCATTTTGTAAATTCTTTTTCCCCATGACTAATTGGATTTTACTTAATCAATTTGTTTACTTCTTTGGAGACTATATGTTGCCTGGTAAATGGATAATTGAGCATCTGTTGCTTTAGTTTGTCTCCGTACTTGTTTTTGGGTGGTGTACAGCTTCTTGTTTCTCTTGGATCCAATCTGTGTACTTAGTGAACTGAGAAAGTTCGTCTTATCCGTTGGATCTGATCACTTCGTTTAGCATTCGTTCACTACATGGACTGGCAATTTCATGTTTGTTCTTCTAGTTCCAGTTTATTGTGGCATCATTTTCCATACTTGATATGTCAAGGATCGAAGAGTTGTTTGAACTTGAGTATGTAATGTAATATATATATATATATATATATATATATTTTTGCTTCTGTGGACACCTGGCAACCAGTGGAGACCACAATATCGGTGCATAATTTTGTTCAGTTGCTTTATGTGATTCGCGTGTTCTTATACTCCTTAAGTTAATAATGAACGTCCGATGTTAAAATAAGCTTGATATTACGTGTTTCATATATGCTAATAGCATAAATTTATTATATTTTTTTCCCCTTCTGTATGAGCTTTATTTTGTAGTTAGTTTTTTATTTTTGATGTCGGACTGGGCAGGACTCAAGTAAAAACATTCAGATATCTGCTTTCCACATTTTCAAGGTGATTTCTACCCTTCATGTTCAAATTTACTTGATAAGCTCATTGTGGTTTTGTTAAAAATTCTAAATAATGTCTGATAATCAGATGCATTCAGCATTTATGATCTTAGAGCACTTGGTTAAAAATTAAAAATTTGTCAATAGAGTTGGATAATGAATTGGTTTTACGCAATAATCTACATGACAAGAGACTTTATGTAAGCATTGTCTTTTTTTTTCCCCCCTTTTCCTTTCTCCCTCTCTCTTTAAGAAATGGCTTGTACATATTTTTTTTTAAATAATTCATTTACTAACTTTTGGCAAATGCATATTTGACACAAGTTTTGAATTGATTAGTAGACTTGTTATATATGTATATGCTAAAAGCACGGCCAGTCCCCCCCCCCCTCACTTTTTGCTGTCGTCATTTTTTGAAAATATAAACTGCAACATACCCCCTCCAGTTCTATATGCAAGTCACCTTCAAGGAAGAATTTAAGGACCTTTTTTTAAGTCACTTTGCATAAAAAAGTGGATATTAATTAATTTCTTTCAATTTTACCCTTTCACAATTTATGACTAGCAAAATGTTACGGGAGAGAGAGAGTATTTTTAAAGATGATGTATTTAATGAGGGTAAATTGAGATTTTTTTTTTTTTAAGACAACATCAATAGTACGAGAGAGAGTACAAGTTTTCTGCAGAGATGATAATCTGTAACATGTTTTCCGCCATGTTTATGCAGGTTTTTGTTGCTAATCCTAATAAACCACGAGAGGTAAAAATTATATTGTCAAAGAACCGGGAGAAGCTGCTGGAATTGCTTCGTGATCTCTCTCCTGGAAAAGGTGACTGTGCTTTTAAGGAATAAATCGCTTTGAAATCTATACGCACTTTCTATGTGTATAGATTATTCTACAATACCACTCAATTCCTGACCATCTGAGTCACTGCTAGTATCTTTTTATGTCATGTTCAGGTTCAGAAGATGAGCAATTTGAAGAGGAAAAGGAGCTTATCATGAAGGAAATTGAAAGAGTATCGTGCTGAGTTATTCACTGATCTACCAGCTACATTGATTTTTTCTTTTTCCTTTTTGGTGGTCAATTTGATGTAAGTGACGTCATAATTCATATTGCTGCTTGTGAACAACTAATGTGTGAATGAATGGTCCAATAGTTTTTCAGTCGACAAGGTGAAAAAAAGAGCTCATATTTTTGTGATATGTAAACTGTATTAGAAGTATTAATATTTAATACAGCCGTTCCAGATAGATTTATTTTGTTTTTGTTTTTGTTTTTGATATACATTCCAAAAGGAATCCATGTGAGTTTAAGTTTCAGAAGGATAATGTATTAAGGGACCAAAGCATTATTAATTTCTTCACAGGGAATAACAAAGTTTTATGATGGTTGTTGAAATGATTTGAACATGTATTAAAGTAGTGGGAGACACTAGTAAGGAGAGTGAAATAGATAATTTTTAACTCTATTAAGAGAGATAAAAAAAAGGTCAGAAAGAATATTTATGGAAATTATTGGTCGGAACTTTTTGGTTAATAACATTCCTAAAAATTTGGTAAGTAATAGAGCGTAATAACATCATACAATTTATATAACTAACTTTCTCTAGTGAGATAAAGTTTATTGTCATCGTCGTCTTCTTCGCAAGAAATTCTAATGTCATTCTCTCTTTCTTTAATTGCATGTAATTACAAAGGCGGTGTTATGCATTATATAAAAATATTTGAAAAATGCATCTCATGACTGAAATTATTATTTTGGACTTTTTATTTTTAGAGTGTAAAAACTTGTTAATTTTTAATATGGATTAATTTTTTGTTTTTTTATACTATTTTTCATGGTCAATTCAAAGATGTACTTTCTTTATTTAAAAATATAAGGCATTTTCAATCGAATTTTATCCCCTAATAAAATAGTTACCTCATTTCAAACTAATTTTATCTCTTCATATTTACTCCTATTAAACACCTTATAATAAATATAAAGTTATTTATTAATAAGGACACTTTTAAAAAAAGAGTAATAATTACATCTTGAAAGATTAAAAATATTTTACACTTTTTAATATTTAATTTTTAAAAAAATATCTTATATTTTCAAACGAAAGGAGTATATTTGTAAAATGCCATAATATTGGTTTAAACACATACACATATGGGAGCACACATTTTCTTGCAATTAAACATGAGAGATAACTCCCTTTAATTTTATGGTGTAACAGGTGTATTTATCAATCTTAAGCAAGGTTAGCAAGTCATAATAAACAACCCCAAAGAAAGTACTAATATGTGATTAAGTAATGTTTTTGAATATAATATTTTGTGGTAATGTTGTGCAATTAATTTTAGTTATAGCATAAATCACAATTTAGTGATTTGCTTCCATCTATCCAGCACAGGAAACAAGTTTGGTTGGTTTTCAATTTTAAAAAAACTTTATTACTTGCTTATTAAAATTTATTATTTAATTCATTCAATTGACAATTTGTGATAACAATAAATATATCAACACACAATATGATACCAAATATCACAGAAAATAGATCTTACGTTTAGTATCTACTTTCTTAGAGAAAAAAATTAGCATCATTTCAAATATCATTGCATGTTTAGTAATTTGGTAAATTTAAATTTTGTTAGTACCAAAAATAAATAAATAAATTTTGAGAACTGAAAATATACAATTTCTTTATTATATATATAAAAAAATTAAAGATGTGGCTACCCTACTCCCCTTGTTTCCATCAGTGCCTACAGTTAATTTATTAAATAATTATTTTCAAACTCTAGTCAATAATTTTTCAAAGAAATCATAAATAAGATTTTTTAATTTTGGATTATTTAAAAAACTTATATAAATATTTTAAAAATTTTCAATTGTACCTCAAAAATCATTTTGCTGCACATGTTAATGATAAAAATAATTTATTATTTAATGATTTTTTTATTTTATAATATCTTCATTTATCTTCACATTATCATCGATATTATTTCTCATTTATTGTGTCTACTAATTTTTATGCTTATCAGTAATTTCTCAAAATGATTAGAAATTTAATTTTTTAAGATTCTGATGATTTTAAGAAAATTAAAAAAAATATAAGAAAAATTTTAGATTTTTAAATTTAATGTACGGATACTCAATTCAAATTCAAAATACATATAAAATAAACTGACTGATTGATCAACAATTCTATGTTTTTATGATTTACAATGTCAAGCCATCGAGAAAATAAAATAAGAGATTAATAAATGAATGTAAGTTCAGATTTGGCCCATCGAATGGAGATAAATTGCTGGCCCATTGTAGTCCAGCCCACAATTTCTAGGGTTTTAGAATGCTACATCTATTATAAACTAAGCTAGGGTTCTCTTCTCCGAAGAACGTGAGGCGCTGGGAAGGAATATCAGGGTGTGTAGAGAACCGACAAGATGGTCAAGTTCCTCAAGCCGAACAAGGCCGTGATCCTCCTTCAAGGACGCTACGCTGGTCGCAAGGCCGTGATTGTGCGTACTTTCGACGATGGCACGCGCGACCGCGCGTACGGCCACTGCTTGGTCGCTGGAATCAAGAAGTATCCCAGTAAAGTCATCAAGAAGGATTCCGCCAAGAAGACGGCGAAGAAGTCTCGTGTTAAGGCTTTCGTCAAGCTCGTGAACTATCAGCACCTCATGCCTACTCGCTATACCCTCGATGTGGATCTCAAGGACTTAGTGACAATCGATGCTCTTCAAGCCAAGGACAAGAAGGTGACCGCCTTGAAGGAGACCAAGAAGAGGTTTGAGGAGAGGTTCAAGACTGGCAAGAACAGGTGGTTCTTCACCAAGCTTAGGTTTTAAGTGTTGCTTTTTCCGTAACAACGGCGCCGTTTAGTGTCGTGAGGATTGGGGACTTGAAAAACGCTTGTTTCTTTTGTGTTTTAGTTTTTTTCTTCGAATGAAATTTTGATTCTTATGCAGTGTTTTACAATCTATTGTTGGAACGCTTTGGATTATATGCTAGTTTCGTGAATTAAAGTGCTAAATGTGTTATATTTAAGGGAGATATGATAATTAGTATAGTCCTTCAGAGGTGAGATGATTATCACCATTAAGATGTTTGTGACGAAATGATTTTGGTTGGACAGAATTTAATTCCAATATACCATACAATTGTCTTGCGGTTGACGAAGTAATCTTGCTAATGCGAACGGGTAGGATTACAGAACTGTTTTTACAAGTTTGTTCTGAACCTTTTGGAACCTGAGAAGAGTGTTGGAACCTGAACATAGTATTTCCTGCTTCTATCTTGGATTTTGCAAGTGATCTTTTCAAGTTCCAGTATGTTAATATTGCGTGATGATTTAGTTTTGTTGTTCTTAACTACGAATTTTGTTAGTTGGTAGTTTCTTTAAACTCCAACTATTTAATCAGGAAAATCTGACGTTTTGCCTGCAATGTTGGTAAACTTTCAATAGGCAAACTTGTACCCTAATTCCAGTAAGAATTTCTTTCTTTCTAAGCTGTCATTTTCTCCATAGCACTGTGTTAGGAATTGGTTTTTGTTATCCAGTACTACTGCATTTTCTTATTGATCTGATTGAAGTTGACTTGGAATATGAATCCTCTGCCCCCGATTAGTGTAACATTTTGGAGCAGGTTCAAGATTTTGATTAGATTTTCCTTCGTCACAACGGATTAAATTGTAAATGTTCTCTCCATTGCGTGTTGGTACAGTGTCTTTCTTTCTTTCTAGTGGCGTTGTTTACATCGTTTTTAATGGAATTTGCAAGATCCAACTGTTTTTACTTGTTAGTAAATGTCGCATAAGATTCATATGAATGTCACTTTTGTACGTGGTTGCTGCTGTGGTATTTGATTTATGTATGTTTATCATGACATCTGTTTTTGATGGCTGCTGTGAGTTGCTACTCATTTCCTGGACTCATGGTTGCTTGTGGATTTGAATCATGCTCCTTTTAGTCCAAAATATAAGCATATTTTGATAGTAACCTTCACACCAATAGAATATATTTTCTCAGGAAAATATATATTTTATTTTTTGTTTTTTAACCTTTGTTTGGGGCGTTCGGAGAAACATTCTATCATATGGATGGCTTCATAGTTCATTCTAGTTAGTCGATAGCTCTCGGAAATGACTCAAAATGGCATAAATCAGATGAATTTGATATGGCTGATTATTAAATTACTGTCAAGGAAAGAAAGAGGAGAGAATATTTCATATAAGAATTTTTAATAAGTAAATAAATTAACAAGTTAATGAGTAAAGTTACTGTTCTAACAAATATACGATTCGTCCAAAACTCTAATGAGGTATTAATTTTTTTTTTTTTAAAGGGTGATGTTCATCCATCAATGGAGGAATCCTAAAAAGCTTAATTTCTTAAGAGAATCTCAGACAACTAAAACTTAATAAACTAATAAGTAAATTTATTGTTTTAACATGTACTAGTTTGTCCGGTGTCTTTTTAAGAAATTAAATCCTTTGGGGAATCATTCATTGATATTCTCCCTAAAAAGAAAGTTGCACAAGAGAAATATTTGAAAAGGTTGAATATCTTGTAAATACTTGAAGGGGTTGAAATATTCATGAGAGATTAGGAGATAATTTTTGTAACATCCTAATTTTGGTTTTAGAATTTAAGTAGTGGTGGAAATTGATTTATTGAGTAAATTGAAGGTAATAAATATTTATTATATTGATTTAAATTTGATAGGATTATTTTATGGTAATAGGATTTGCAAGATAATTTTGAGGAAAGAAAATTAATCCAAGAAGAGTTGAATTTTAAAGATATAATGGAATGCCTCAGATTAAATATAAGACTTTTTGAAATAATCTATGAAAACCCGTTCGATTTACAAGAAATGGATTTAAAAAATGAAAGTAGTTGGACCTAGGACATTTGAAGTCTCAAAACATTTGCCAACAAGCCCAACAACAATTCCCACATCACCTGGATAATGATCTATTTACACACATATGGCTCAGCCCATCCTTTTGACAGATTAAATCCAACTTCTTAAAACAAACTTTTCTGCTTGTTTTGGATTACAAAAACAAGCAAGAGCTCAAGAAACTAAAAACTAGGAACTAGCCTAAAAACCAATAAAAGAGAATAAGAAACACACTAACTAGCATGTTTCTTATTTTCTAAATATTTCCTTAAACATCTTGGAGGAACTGTAGGCATCAATATAATCTCTGAATTAGTAGTCCTTCCTGACTTTGTTAGAAAATTAGCGCATCCAATATTGTTCCTATTAGTATAGTGAATTTTCACTTCCCCATCACCACAGATAGCCTCTTGTGTCTCTGAAATTTCCACCCATAGAGGATGATTAATAACATAGTCTCTTCTTAAAAGGTTGATAGCATTAATGGAATTATAGTAGAGATTAATCTTATGTATACCAAGTCGCTTGGCAACTTCCAATCCTATCTTAATAGCCATTATTTCAACTTCAACAATTGAGCAAAAACCCAAACCTCTTGTAAACCTCATGATCTACTCCCCTGTGCAATTGTGTATAACTCCACCAAATACAGCATATAACTCCACCACATGCAGCTCTGTTATTGTTGATCATAGAACCATTTACATTGATCTAAACAGAGCCACTTAGGGGTCTTATCCAACTGCATTCATGGTCTTCAATTCCTTGAAAAAATTTGTGTTGGAGTTTAATGTTTGAAGTACATTGTAATAGAAGGGAGATGCATTTACAAATGACTTCTTTAGTATTTATAGTGTCTCCTTCAAAAATAAATTTGCATCTTGATGTCTACAGCAACCAACAAGTCAAAGCAAACACTCTTGGCCAAGGCCAACAGAGAAATATGCTATTGCTTGGATTATGCTTCAAATTCCACATAAGCCAACCTTGCAAATTATCAGTTAAAAAGAGAGACAAAATATTAGAATTTAAAATATAAGACCATGCTATTTTGGCTCTCTCACAATCTCTGAGAACATGGAGTATAGTTTTCTCATTATGACACTCAAAGGGGCAATCAAAAGTGTTTGAAAGGCCTCTCTTCCATCTTAGTGAGTTTGTAACCAATCTCCTATGGAAAGTTTGCCACATGAAGAACTTAATTTTTTTTTTGTAATAGGCCATTTCTAGATTTTTCTCTATAATTGACAATTCCTACCCCTCTTCATACGGGATAAAAAGTGTAAGCACTTTTAATTGAAAAACAACCATCAAAAGCTAGCCTCCACATAAGACAATCCTCTCTAGCGAATGAGGGAGGTTTAATCCATTTCAGTTTAGAGATAACACATTTTGGAAGAAAATTGCACCAATTACCAATATTCTAATGACCATTAGGCAAAATATGATCACAAACTCTACATGTGGAATTTATTGCTTCTAAATTTCTAGCATAATAAATAAGAGGTCTATCAAGTAGGGACTAAAGAGCCTACTAGAAGCTGGTATTATGACCATTATTTGCCTCCTTACCTAATCCTTCAAGAAAAGAGTCCTGCAATTCAATCATAGAGTACTAAGTCAATAAAGCATTACTTTTCCTTTTGATTTTAGGAAGAGCATCATTGCCACATCTATATTTGGCTCTTAAACACCAAACCCATAACGCCTCAGGTTTGGTCACCATACCACAATAGAGCTCCAAAATAAAAGCCTTCTTTTGACATTTCAAATTTTTAATTCCCAAATCACCTTTATTGTTGCTTTTAGAAATTTGCTCCCATGTAATGAGATGCATCTTTTTTGACTCCTCATCATGATTCCATAGGAAGTTCTTACTAATCTTTTCAACATCTTTTAGAACACCTTTTGGTAATAATGTTGATTGCATTTGGTAACTAGGAATGCCAGAAAGCACGGCTTTAATGAGAACAGATCTACCTGCTTGATTAAGGATTTTGCTCTTCCAAAAAGAAAGTCTCTTTCGAATTTTATGAATAATTGAAGACAAAGTTTCTTTGGTGACTCTAGATGGATGAGAGGAACTCTAAGATACTTTCCTAAATTAGCAGTAATTTTAATACCCATAATTTGACCAAGTTCTACCTTCCTATTAACATGGACAAATCTTGAGCACAATATTTTAGACTTTTTCAAGTTGTTCTAATGGCTAGATACAGCATAAAAGCATTGTATCACTCTTTTAATTACATTCATCTACTCAATCGAGGCTTTTGAGTAATGTAAGAGGTTATCGACGAAGAATAAGTGAGAGATTTTAGGATTATTTGACCTAAACTTAATAAGTTTCCATTGATGCGACCTACATTCTTTTATTATTATAAGTTGCCCTAACCTTTTCATATATAGAACAAATAATAGGGGCTTAACCAATCACCTTGCCTAACCCCTCGAGATGGTACAAACTTTTACTATCTTCACCATTTCAAAGGAATCTCACAAAGGCTGTAGTTGTACTAGCCATGATAAGTTTAACAAAATAGTTCTCAAGACCAAGTTTGGAGAAAGTATCCTCAATAAAATTTCAATCTAGTTGATCATAGGCTTTCTCCATGTCTATTTTAACCACCATATATCCTTTCTTCCTTTTACTCATTCTCATAGTATGGATGGCTTCTTAAGTGAGGATAATATTATCACATCCTGATCCGCTAGAGATGAAACCACATTGTTCTTGATCCAGCAAATAACTCATAATCTTCTTAGATCTGAGGGAAAACACTTTAGTAATGATTTTGAAGCTAACATTACATAGTAAGATTGGTCCAAATTCTTTCAACGAGGTAGGATTGTTAGTTTTTTTGAATAAGAATAATGTTTGTCTGGTCGATGTCCTTAACATTGTTTAGATATAAGCAAAACTTCTTCATAAAATCAAAAATTCTTTAACCCACTATGTCCCACTGAGTCTGTAAGAAATGTGCTTTTAGCCTATCAGGCCCTGGTGCTTTAAAAGCTCCTATAGAAAGGCAGTATTGTTAATTTCAACTGTGTCAACCATTTTGTGAATTTCCATGAGATCATTCTGTGATAACTGTGGGAAAGCTACATGCCAAGTTAAAGCATTCATCAGGGATTGTT